AAAATACGCGTGCCAGGGTATGTACAAGTACGCTTGGGGGGTTTGGATTTCGTATGCGAGTCTTAGTGTTCCGAGCGACGCCTCTTGGGTTTCTTGGCGGAGGGCGATGAAGGACATGCAACATCAGCATCAGTGTCTTCAGCGACTTTTCGGGACCGTTTCCTGGAAAGTTTGGTTCCAGATTCCTCGACAGCATCCATCATATTGTCTTCATCGGACCTAGAAGCAAACACGATTTTAGTATAGGATAACTATCTACTGACTTAGTAATTAGTAAGCACAATTTTTTCATAAATGTTAGGTTCCCCTGACGGGACATCATTAATAACCGCAAATTTATCACCCATGCCGGATATGCACATGGTACTTGGTCTGTTATTCTGCTCACCGAAAATGACGCTTGCAAGTGTTCACCTGCACATTTCCGCGCAGCGAATTGTTTTGACCAGGCTTAGTCTCAACGCCGAATATGAGCTGGGGGTTATTGCACTTGTTGCTAGACAAAGAGGACGCAGTGAACCATGAGTCAAGCAGCTTGCACGATCGGCATGAGAATTGCAACCTCGTCTGACTTAAATATTTGTTCATTTCCCATCGAATGGCCGAACACGTAGGACCAATGCCAAGAAAGGACGCCAGCTCCTACGTCGCAGCTCATGCGACATCTTTTAATTGTAGGAAACTTCAGCTTCGTATGTTCCGCACCAAAATACTGTCTGTACGGTGTGATAGTAATAGAAGTGGCGTTATTAGTATTAATAGAAGTAACAGCAGTAGCATTAGTAGTAGTGGTAAAAGTAGAAGTATTAGCAATAGTAATGGTAGAAATAGCAGTATTAGTAGTCTCAACATTCGCAGTAGTAATAAAATCAGTATTAACCATGATAGTCATGGCAGTAGTAGCAGTAGTAATAACATTCGTAGCATTAAAAGCAACAGGAGTACTAATAGTAGTAGCATTCGTGGTAGTAATAGAAGTCGTAGGATAAGTAGCAGCAATGGTAGTGGTAGTAGAAGTAGCAGTAATATCAGTAGGAATAGTAGAAGCATTAGTAGTAGTAGTAGTAGTAGTAGTGGTATTGGTAACATTAATAATACATATAGTAATAGTAGTTTTATTAGCAGTAGAAGTGACACCAGCTCCCAAGTCACGGCTTATGCAACATCTTTTAATTGTGTGAAACTTCAGCCTCCTATAGTTCACCTTTAAACACCATTTGGACGGCGTTATAGTAATAGAAGTAGGATTAGTAGCATTAACAGCAGTGGGAATAGTAGTAGCATTAGTTGCAGCGACAATATAATGTTCACTACCCATAATAGTAGTAATAACAATAGAATTAACACTCGTACTAGTAATAATAGCATTATTAACAGCAGTAGTAATAGTACTAACATTCGTAGTAGATGTAGCAGTTAACATGGTAGAAGCATTAGTAGCACTAATAATAGTAACATTAGTAGCAGTGGTATTAGTAGTTGTAATAATAGAAGTAGTAATATTAACGTAATTAATAATTGTTTTATTCGCAGTAAAAATGACGCTAGCTGCCAAGTAGCGGCTCAGGCAACATCTTTTAAGTGTGTGAGATTCCCGCTGCCTATAGCCTGGCCGGACGGTACAGTCAGGTTCGAATAAAACACGGTTTGTTCGATAATCCACATAAGCATGCTAGGGTTTTCTTGAACTGCGCTGAACTTGTAAAAAAATCAATGCACAGTTCCTCTCATGCAAACCACATGACCCAGCAACTAAATTAGTTTGCTGAAATGCCGTTAATGCTATAGCATACTGTCTGAAGCAGAGGTAAGAAGTTATCACTCGAATATCAGGGAAAATATTTGAACCTATATAAGTTAGCAGAGGGGAAACCGAGGATTCAGATAGCCATGGCTTTGTTAAAATCCCTATAAAAATCTTCGTCCGCGTTCAGGTCAGTGCGGGGACATCAACCAACATTTTTTAGGCAAGTAGCACGGCCAGCAATTTGCAACAATACAGTCGGTGTATATAATACCTCATAAGCTCCGCCAGCTCAATGAACATCTCCTAGAGATGCTTCCTTAGTGACCCTGTAGCGCCTTTTACTTCCGGCGCCACGCTACACATGAGGTCACTTGATTGCGGTTTCTCTTGGGACAGTATATAACAGATGCCTTAAAATGCGCCAACACTCAATCTCTTGCGGCTGCTAGCAAAGGCGCAAGAACCAGTTTGTCTGGCCAATTATCTCCTTGACCCACACAGGACTTTACTGCGACGACAGCCACGCTCACAAACTTCGGATCACGCCTTTCTCGAGAGCGGATGCTTGTTTGTCCGACAGTCAACTTTGTGCTACCAATCCTCCGGAACTCCTCTTCATTCGATATGGCGTCACACTTCTTCGCTCACCCTACGGAACCAAGCCTGAAGATCGCAGCAACAAGGGTCCTCTCTTTTAACTTAAGCTAATTTCATCGATCTCGCCTCGCGTGAAGTTCTGCAAGAGATAGCCGAAATAATAACCTAAGTGACGTTGGAATAGCACGCAATTAGTGTACACTGTGAAATTATAGGCGTGAACTTTACTTCTTCTTCAGTCACGATAGGATGCCGGCTTTTTAATGATCTTCGTTCTGACCGCCAACAAAACGTATGTACTGTAAAAAGGGGCTACTTAAGTAGTATGAGTTTTTATAATTGATTTTTACTACCTTTATAAATTCAAATACATATTATGAAAAAGATAAACGAACAAATTATTTCTTGTACTCCTGTGGTAGCAAATTACGCCTTTTTTAAATTTTATACTAAATGGAGAGTTTCTTTAAGTTTAAAAAAAGTTTATAAATTGTCGAATAATTTTGAGACCTAGTGACGGCTACACTTGAATTCCAGGTTTACAAACTGCGCGCTGCATGCATCCTGTTTAAGGAAAGTGCATTTTCGACTACGGTGTGAGGAAGAAATCACATAGTTCTCATGAGATGTGGTTCATAGTGCCTTAATAAATTGACGGATACGTATAAACACTTCACAATCGTAAAAAAGCTCATAATTAGAAACTTTTTTAAATCGGAAAACACTTTATTTCGGTAAATGCTCTTTATATCTATCTTATTTA